GATCGGCCACAGGGGGACCCTGGGTGCCCCCCAGACCCAGGAGGCACAAGTCATTGAGCTGGGGGAAGGTCCTCTGTGTGCTCCGTGGCAGACCCGGAAGTAGACTGGAAATGCTTCTGGTCCACTTCTGGGTCTGCTGCCAAGTGCTCTGGGGACCCAGTGCGCTGCCATGGGATGCTCCATCTGCTCCAGCATCACAGCATTCATGAGCCATCTGGAACCTTGAGGTATGTAGAAAAAACATTTAAAGCTGTGTCCATATCTGAATCATTAAATCTCTCTGATTTGATTCGGAGAGATTAAAGGGTCTCTTGATTCTACTCAGATTCGGAGATTTGGCCACCAAATTGGGCTGACTCTCCACCAATTCAAATCAGCAACTGAAGCTTTCCACAGCCCTACTAAGCAGTAGCATCGTGTGGCAAAAACTGTGATGCTATGCTACTGAATGGTAATATTAGGCTACTGCGCAGTAGCATCACAAAAAAGCATTCGTTGGCGCTACTGCACAGTTACTCGAGTTACTGAACATTCATTTAGCACTTGTTTATACAAGTCATAAATAAATGTGCGGTAACAACTACACAGTAGCATCTTATGTAGATGCGGCCAGAGTTACATCAATACAGATGTAACTTCAAATCAACAAGGTTTCTCTGCTTTTACTCCAGCATAATCAAGCTCCTCCAGCAGCTAAAGAAGGCTTAACATAGAATCAAGCTCCTCCAGCAGCTAAAGAAGGCTTAATGTAACTCACTAGGGACCATACCATATCTGCTGTAGCAAGGTATTGGAGTCTCAGGACATGGATGAAAAATCAAAATACAGCAAGTTAACAGAGGACAGGATCTTACCACTGAATGGATGATGCTTGGTAAATGTGTGTGTGCCCACAATTATCCCGTACTAAGTAAAAGCTAACCCGGGGCACCTTAACCTTGGTTTAATTTAGGGATAAGCTGTACCTGTTACTGCAAAGGATTTGTGGGTTACCCTGCATGAAATTGCAGCAAATTAACAGAAGACTGGGATGCATCAGTGTTTCTGTTAATTTTATGTAATTTGATTGGTTCTCTGTTCCCTCATAGTATGAGAGGTATTCTTATCCCCCTCTTATCTTATCATTTCAGAACTTTCTAAAGGTGTAGGAGGTCTTAAGAATTATTGTTTGGAAAGGTAATTCCAGATGGAAACAAACAAAGTGTGCTACGTGAAAATAGCATATTTATCCAAGTTTTCCTGAAACATTATAGACAATAGAATCGTGGTTTTCTTTCAGCCTATGGATCCAAACTGCAGTCAACCATCTTGTCTTCTTCCTACTCTCTGAATGTGAAGAAAACCAACAGCAGTTTCAACTGCATTCATTTATTTGCAAGGTTTGTTTTCTAACGACATTTCAATACAAGCTCCACAATGCTTGTCATTAGTGTGCATCCTGTATGAAGCTCAATAGTCAATGATTGTTCTGAACCCCCAAAGAAGCTTAAACGTTGCCATAAGATACAGACTCCTTCATACCTTCCCACTCTCAGAACGTCCATGTTTAACTACTACAGAAGACTGCAAACATAAGGATGAATACAAACTTCTAGCTCTGAGATTACCAAAATCCTTTAAAAATATTTATTAGAGAGAAGTGAGAAGATGGCATCCAGCACCGGCTGAGAAAAACTCAGTTCAGGTAGGAAAACAGATATCATAAATAACAAAACTTTGATGAACATCAAAGTAGCATGCTTTTTATTATACCAGAATTTCATTTAGTTTGGCACTGTAGTTAACTTTCACCAGAATAAAATTATTTTAAGCATCTATTATTCTGAAACTTTAAAACTAACTAACTAACTAAAGCTACCAGGTCCTATTAGATATACTTAGCAAGTACTCTTTTGAAAGATGGGCTCATCTGAGGAAAGAAGAAAGGAAGGAAACAAACATGCCTTCAGTACCCCCAAATTTCCTTTGTTTCAATACATCCATCCATACATTATTTTTTTAGCACTGATAAAACTAGTACTACTATTCAAATGATGCATGTGCTTGGATTTTCAGAAAGAATAGATAGTCTGATTAGTAGCAGTTTTAGATTTACAAGTTCACATATTTCAGTGCATAAGATGATTGCCTGCAGGGTTTAAGAACCTTTTCTCACACCGCAATCTGATATGCTATAGTTCTCAATAGACAAGGAACACTATCACCTATTTTTTTAATTTCCTCAAAAAAACATTAAGCAATGGCTACTTCCAGAATCAGGATATCAGACCAGATGTACTATATAATCTATTATACTAAATGCTAAGTTCTTAATATTGTATCTAGTATTCAGCATGGTATAGATAACTGAAAAATACCTAATTCTTTGCACAGCCTATACCTTACTGAACCAATTGTGATTTGCATTTTAGATACCATATATCTAAATGTATATATCTGTGTACATATGTATATGTAAATACATATAAGTAAAAATCTACAATACATACATAATTTGTGAGACTATCGTGTATGTTTACAAACAACTGAAAATACGAAGTGTTGAGGACTTCCTAATAATGGAAAGTGTTTGGCAGCTTTCACGATAGGTGATGCTAACAAACATTTTTAAACAGGAAACCAGAGATACGTATCAGCATACAAAAATCCTTCCTACTCTTATGCATGGGAAAGGGCATGCTGATAGTAATCTGGTTAAGTAATAAACTACAACAGAACTTTCAAAACTCCTGTACTGAAATAATATCTGAAAAAGCAGCCAAACACATTTTATTTCCCCTTACGCACATGGCACATCTGTTTCTCCCAGCAGCAAATGGAGGACAAAAGGGGGATGTCTACACTGCACATCTGGCACTCCCAGAAGTATTACTGTCCATCCTGGTCCATCTACCTGCTCCCACCTGCACATTCGAAACCTGGAAATAACAGAGTGAAGCCACTTCAGCCACACCTGCTGCCGCTTCCAAGGATGCTGGAGACAAGAGAGCACAAGAGCAGCAGCAGGAGATAACCTACCACATTTCTGATTTGGGTTGAGTGTAGACAGGACTACTGGGTACAGCATGCTCGAGAGCAGCCTTCACCAGGAGCACCAGGGACACAGTGTAGACAGACTCAAAAAAGAAAGGTAAATATACCATAAGATCATAAGAACTTCTTACTCAACAAAATGTTTCCAGACCAGAGAGTGGGGGGTAGGGTTCCTTTGTAAATTAATAAAGAAATGATAGCTCTCTTGGCCCTTTTTTGGGAAAAATTATTTAACTGAAACTGCAACACCGCTAAGCTCGTAAGACCAGTAACTGAAAATCACCCGTCTCTGCCCTTGATCCTGCTTTGACTACGCACAACCTACTGGTTTAGCTTTATGAGGTATTTACACATGTACTCTGGGAGTGTATGTGTGGGGGGGTGCTTTAATTAGAGTGGCTCTGAGAGCTGCTTTAATTAAAGTGCCTGGAGCCTCTCACGTATCAGCGTCCTTGCGCTTAAAAATAGTGGCAGCATTGCTTTAACTAAAGCTTGTTCAACAAGCTTTAGTTAAAGCACCCCACCACCATTTTAAAGCGTGGGGACACTGATACACGAGACACTGGAGTCTGCTGGATGGAGTGCAGTAATTATCACACTCCATCAAACTCGATTAATTAACGCTGCTTTGACACACTGTAATTATAGAGCATCGGAGCTGTCCCGCTGCTCATGTACAGAGACTGCAGAAACCTTACTGGCATTTAGGATCTGGCTGAGGCATATCCAGTCAAACAAGGATCTGCATTATTCATCCCCCATTATTGTGCATATTGGAGTAACAATTTAATAGTGCAGCTTGCTATCGTAATTATGAAAGTTATTTATTTATTATAAATAGCTATTTTAAATGAATATATGTTCACAAGTACTTTAAAATAGTAAGATACTGTGAAACAAGACACAATGCCATGCCAGAAATGCAATGGTAATATAAATAATGCTTATCTATAGGAGCAGAACACAAGCTTACCATTAGCAGCTGCAGACACAGCACTCTCTAAAAAATGGCATGTCGTAATATTTTTCTCCAGGCACATTATGACTGGAAACACATCTTTATTGTTCAGGGACAGAATTCTCCCTCAGATGTAAGCCTGAACTCACAACCTGGATTTGGCAATATTTGTATTCAGTTTACAAGTTCTCAGTTCTGACTCTCCTCTCTATATATATGCCTGAATTTGAATCCTATACATGAACACATCTGAACCTAGAATCTGGATTAGTTCTTTATGATTCAGTCTCATCTCTGCTTTTCAAGAATATTTACTAACTATAACACACTGCAGAATGAGTTAACAGTGTACTATTTAAAATCTCAAACTCAAATTAAAGCTAGATCAGATACTAACACAGAAATCACATATCAACATCAACTTTTAGGTACCGCAGTCAAGCTTCAAAAGTACATGCACATACCGTGCACACATTTGATACCAGTGCAATCAAAGATGCTTGCATATGTATGTTGGAAGGCTGGGCCTAGCATGAGGAACATGATTTCTAAAATCCACAAGAATTTATCACAAGTCACAGATCCTTATTTCTTAAGCCATAGGCCCTTCTCAGTACCAAAGATGTAAATCTATATAATAATTTGCAAAACCGAGGCCTTAGCAAGGAGCATATGTATACGTCACCCAGTACATTGTTTACAACTGAGGATACCACAGGAAAATTACAAATGTGACTAACCTGGACCATTTAAGTACTGTGTAAGTGAACAGTGCAATCGCACTATTATAGGCTCTGTGCGAATTACATCCCAAGCCACAGCAATCTCTTCCTAATTCAAGATAAAAAGAAAAGAAAAGAAAACAACAAAATAAAACCCATTAGCTATCATTAGGAACTGTCCATACTTTGTCAATCAATCCTAGTACTGCTGAAAGTGTTGTGTGTGTAAGTTCAGGTGAGCTATTGTTTTAACCTCTGCCCACTGATAGGATGGATTTTCCTTAGCATTTAACAAGATAGCTTTAAACAAGATAAGCAGAGTAAATTAGGCCGTGCTGATCTCCATGACACAGCAGCTAGACTGCTTCTGATATCCAGACTAATTCTTTTTAAAGCTACCTCTACAAAGGAATGCTGATTGCCATGTAGGCATACACACTGACTATGATCCAATACAGTGGTTCAACAGGGAGCAAAGGGAGTAAACACAATTAGAAAAAAAACAGATATCAAGAAAAAAACATGTGGTACATCTCCTTGTGTTGGTACCTTGTTACATAGTAAGCTTAGGTGGCTTCTGGAGCTCTTAACCTCCAGATCTGCTGCACATTAACACCTTTTAGCTGGCGTAGAACACTTGTTAGTTATGCCACTCCAGGACAGGATTGTCTCCAATCTGCCTAATTTTGTTGCAGTTCCGTTACTATGTGGCCACTTCCCACAGCTATTCTGCCCAAGCTGAAGTCCTCCAGTATCCCAGAATACTGTGAGTTCTGAGGGGCCTGATCCTTTCTTCTTTGGGATTCAGGCATCGCCTGCTGCCCCACACTCAACCAGCTGAGCTGCCAGCTAGCCAGAAGTCGCCTAGGATCCCAGGTGCCTGATCTTTTTTTCCCCAGAACACCCAGTGGCCACGGTGCCTCCTGCTTCCACTTGGACTGGCTCAGCTCCCACTAGCGAGTGAAGGTGCTGCTTGAGCCCTGGAGAAAAACAGATCATGATCCTCAGAGCTCAAAGTGAGTGAGCTCCAGGGCTGCAGAAGCTCTCTGGTCTCACTGAAACCGACACAGCAGCTTTGTGTTGAGAGCAGAGCTGTCAGGGCTTAAGCCTGGTGGCCTCGCCCTCAGTATGGAACTGCTGTGTCAGTTTTAATGAGACCTGAGAACCCCAGGGAAGTTGTTTTCCTGGGTTTCTCTGGTCTTGCTGGAACTGACACAGCAGCTCCGCAGTGAGAGCCGGACTGCCAGGCTTAAGCCACGCACTCGGCGTAGAACCACTGTGTCAGTTTCAGCAAGACGGGAGAACCCCTGGAAAGCTGCTTCCCTGGGTCTCGCTGAAACCGACACGGTGGTGGGCCCACTCTCTGCCCACTGGGAGCAGCAAGCAGGTCCTGCTCCTTGTCCTTCACCTGCTCACCAAGCTTCTAGCGGCAAGTCAGAGCTGTGCAGGTGAAGAACAGTCAAAGTAGGTTTTTCACCTTACCGTGTGACTGCTCCACTAAGCTGAATAACACTAAGCCAATTAACATTTGATCAGCTTACAGTGTAAGGTCTAACAAGGTCCTTTAGTAATTCATTCACAGCGGAGGCTGTGGACAGATTGTTAATCCTTCTAAAGGGGAGAAGGAAACTTGCCATTTGGAAGAATAGATGCATTCTTCCAGCTAAACTGTTACCTGTGGCTACTCCCATTCCTGAATGAAACAGGTTTAAAGTTAAAACATTTTAGTTTCCCTTTTTCTGGCAGACAATAATTTCAGAACATCTTAAGATGATGTGATTTAACAGCTGTAAAATATAATTATACAGTAATTAACAGTAATTTCAGAACATCTTATGTTGATATAATTTAACACCACTATAACTGTTATGTCTGTTCACACTACATGTTAAGTCTTCATGAGGCTCCAGGGCAAAGCCAAAGAGTAATCATCCTATATGCAATGTTTACATTGGAAAATGATATATCTGTGCAGAAGGTAATGCTGTTCCACCCTAAAAGAGCTTGTTACAGAAGTATGGTGTGGAAGCAAGAAGCTAAAGAAATGATGCCTCCAGGGAGAAAGGGAAGCTAAGCAGTACTGTTCTCTGATTCCTTTGTCATTCAAATCTCTCCTTGGAAGACAGCATTTGTTGAAAGTTAATCTAGGTGATCCTCATTCATGGCCCTTTTCCTTCCAGGAACATACTGTATCGCTCAGTATAGGGAAGACCCTGTTGCAGCAAAAAGCAATGCACTGCATTTGCATCAGTTAAAACTTTTGCCATTTGCAAGGCACATTAAAAAGTAAATATAAAAATATAAATATAGGAAAGAAACAGCTACAAAATATCTTAGTAATGAGTTTCCTATTGGAAAATAAAATGTCTCTACTGGGAACTGAAGAACAATCAATAACGTGACAAGAATTTGTGAAGATCAAGCATCCAAAAAGGGGAATCTCAGTGGGTGACTACAGAATCTGATATGTGACAGAATTAAATGGGTATTAATGTTCATTATATAATTGTAGGATTAGATTACTTACATCAAGAAAGCTAACATCAATATGCAGATCAATATCTACATCATCAATGGCTCCATATTCCCTGAAAGGAAAAAAAATGTATTACAGTAGAACTATCTAAGATACTGTCAGTATAAGAGCATCTATAATAGGAGAGATCTTATTAAGGAAGATAGTTATAAAATGCTATACAACCAGTACAAAATGGATATTTTATACTGAGTTAGGACACTTTCACAGTGGGTAACCTTTTGCTGGACAGCAAGGTAGGTCAGTTGCTCCAACATATTCTGCCTGAGCAGACCAATGCTTTCATACTGATGTCTCTCAATTTTCTGCTTCCATTACTATTCCACATATCATGTACACTTCACCATGGACCAGAAAAAAATGAAAACCCAGGACAATACAGGTTATGTGTTGCACTGTTCGTGGCAACATCAAACTCCTTTTGACTTAAGGAGCTTGAATAAATTCAGGTGCTTACCTTAACTTTCACAGGTCTAAATAGAGAATTGAGAGAGGGGTAGTTATAGACAATTTTTACAGTATTTTCCCATTTTTATTTTTCCATGGTTTGTTAACATTTTGTCATGACCCACAGGGTAATTTCTTACCTACCTCAAATGAAGTGTCTAATATATTCAAACATACCTAAAATTTTGTCTGATTGTCAAACTTCAGCTGTAACAGTTTTGAACAGAATAGGTGAGATGCAAATTGTTAATTTAATCCCCCCAAAAGATTATGGATTATAGTTGGGGTTTTTATTTGCTATAATAAAAAAAAAAAACAATCTCTAAAGAATCAAAACAATGATAAGAGTTTGTATACCTTTCTAATGGATAAAGGTACCTAATATCCTTTGAAAATATCAGAAGCCAGAGTTCCTATGTGGTCTTAATGTCAAGAACAGGGATTTGGTGTTAGTCAAAGAAAAGCTTTATGAATATCTGTTATTTTGGAGAAACTGCTGCAGAATAAGTGAACCTCCAAGACTCCTTTTCTTCTTCATTTTGGCTTCTTCCCTTAGTATTGCTAAAGACTCGTGAAAAATGTTAGCTGGAATGCTCCTTTTCACATACACTAGACCAGCAGTTCTGAACTGGGGGTACATGTACTCCCGGGGGTACATGAAACCTCATCAGGGGGTACGTGAGATATATTTCATACATTGTCTGACACAGGTCGAAGGGCCTAAAATATTAATTTCCCATGGAAAGGGGGTACGTGAAGTCTCACTCTGAGACCAAGGGGTACGTCGACTGAAAAAGGTTCCGAACCGCTGCAGTAGACAGTATACTTTTCTTATGTTCCCTTTACATCTAAATTACTTAAGCACGTAAATATCAAGAGCAGAAATATCTGTGATATCAAAAGTTCTCTCTTCAGTCTATAACTATCCACAGCTCCTTGTCACACATTAATGAGGCAGAATTCTTTGTGTCCCTACTTCTTCCCTTTTCATTGCTTATTTATACCTAACTGGACATAAGTAAAACCTCCTAGCCTTTATGTTTCCCCTGACACACACATTCTGGCAACCAGGTGTGAACTAACTGTGATACATTCATTTGAAAATATGAAAATATTTTGTTGCTATTCTGTCTAGCTACATCAGCCAATTTGCCTGGCAAGCCAATGAAAAGGACCAGTCTTAGCACAAATATCCACTTCATAGCACTTTAGTTCAAGTCTGTATTGACAAAAGCCCTGACCTTTCAATGAGTCTTTTAAAGGTAGGATCAGAATCCACATGAGGCCCTACTGACTTCCTAGACTTCAGTGTTGAATAGGGGTTTAAATTCAAGATATAGCAATATTCTATGCATCACGTGGCTAAACTCACTAACATGCATTGAACTGCAATCCATACAAAGCTCTCCATTTTTTTTGGCTGAATTCTTAGAACCAATGCCCAAACTCTGCAATCCTGAGTAAGGTTTACTCGTGCAAGCAATGGGCATGCCAGTTTTACTTAAATTAGTGAGTGTTGAAGGATCATGCCTTAAAGTAAAGCAGAACCAAAGAACATGAAAAAGATTAGCAAACAAAAAGGAAAATGTACAACTGAAGGAAATTAAAGCTTACTAAAGCTGCAACCAATTCAGAAAGGATTTTAGGAATGTAAAAACTACCCATGCTCTAACTTCTCAGAGCAGCGGTAGCTAGGAATCACCCCTCCCTGCCATAGCCTATTGTGGCTACCTTAACACCAATGTGGTAGGAAACCTTCTGTGAATTTTACTAACCTGAAAAGCTGTGAAACTCATTCAATGAGCATGCTGAGACTGGTAGAGTCACAGAACCATTTGGCTGGAAGAGACATAAAGGGTCACCTACTCCAACCCAATGCAGAAAGGCAAGATGCACTATTCCTAACATATCCCTGTTAAAAGTTTATCCAGGTTCATCCTGAAACCATCCAATGAAGGAGTCTGGTTCATAAGGACATTAATAAGATACAAGGGTTTGCCTATCTTTAATGCCAATTAAATGAAGAACGGCGTAGTGTTTATAAATAGTACTGACAGAAGCCTTTTTTCATCCTTAAATTTCTACGACTGATGGACAGTTACAGACAGAAAGGGCAGAGGAAGAGTCTATCTTCTTAGAACTATGCTCATTCAGTGGGTGCAGCAATGTCGTCATTAACTGGACTTGGTGGTGCCAGGGAAGTAGTGCTCCAGAAGAGGATAAAACCAAATGCTGAATGCTGTATTTTGTGGTAACTAAGGCTTTATAAGTATTCCCAACACAGGAGGCATGAAAGTTTTCCACATGCCAGAAGCAGCCACTGATGCCAATTCCTAATGAATTGAGCCTTAGGAGATCATACAGTCTACAATGAAGCAAATTACTCAATAAATTAAAGCAAATTAAAGTTTTTAAAAGGTTGCATTTATTGTTGTAATTTTAAGAGCCCATGGGAATATATTATCAAGGTGTACATAGCTTCACAAGAGAGTAGCAGTCATCATGCTGGCGCCTAACTGATTATATCATTCATTTCCCATGTCATGTAAACCTGCTCAAATTTTAATTCCCAGTGTCCTCTAGACCTAATGAATTTCCACTTAAGAAGGATTATAATGAAGATATTTTTTCATTTAGAAATACTGTCCAAGGAATTAAATTTATGCCATTAAAATGTACTCTCATTAAATTCTCACATAGTTTAGCAGATTAGTACAATTTAGTTTTAAACAATATCTCTTTTCCTAGCCAAAAATAGTAAATGTTATCCTAGAAAGGTTAATTGAAATAGTTACAAGGAACACACAAGATTTTTATGTTGTGTATTTTTTTTATTTTTAGTGCTATTATATGGCAATTGCAACCTTTCTTTATCATTCTGTAGCCTAAGTCCTGTCTACTATTCATAAAGTCATGTTATTCTTACTTATTTTCTTATGGAAAAACAGAATCACTGAGTCAGAGGGATGTAGGGAGAAGTCATTTGGTCCAACCTTGGTCCAACCATAATTGACTCCAAGATGAACATGAGCCACCAGTGTAATGAGGCCATCAACAAGGCCAATCGCACCTTGTCGTGCATTAGCAGGTGCATGACTAATAGAACAAAGGAGTTGATGCTCCCCCTCTATGCGGCACTGGTCAGGCCACAGTTGGAGTACTGTGTCCAGTTTTGGGCGCCGCACTTCAAGAGGGATGCGGGGAATCTCGAGAGGGTCCCGAGGAGGGCCACTCACATGATTAGTGGCCTTCGTGACAGACCCTACAGGGGGAGGTTGAGAGAGCTGAATCTCTTCAGCCTTCACGAGAGATGGCTGAGGGGAGATCTTGTGGCCGCCTATAAATTTATTAGGGAAGGTCAACGGGGAATAGGGGAAGTGCTGTTTACTAAGGAGCCCCAGGGAGTGACTAGAATAATGGGTGTAAACTAGTTGAGAGTGGATTTAGGTTAGATATTAGGAAGACATTTTTCACAGTAAGGCTGGCCAGGATCTGGAATGGGCTTCCAAGAGAGGTGGTGCTATCGCCTAGCTTGGAGGTCTTCAAAAGGAGGCTAGATAGTCACTTGGCTGGGGTCATCTGACCTCAGTCCTCTTTCCTGCCAGGGGCAGGGGGTCGGACACGATGATCCATTGCGGTCCCTTCTAACTCTACAATCTAGGAATCTAGGAATCTATGAAACCTGTCCACTAAAGAAAGTTCAAGGATACCTAAGGCCATCCCCAAGAGAGATTTGTCTATTTTGTTCTTATAAACATCCCATGCAGGAGACTGCGCAACATCTTGAGGTAGACTGCATTACTGTTTCACTCCCTTAACGTTAGACAGGTTTTTTTTCATAATATCCAACCTAAGTCTTCTTTGTCACAAATTAAACTTATTTCTTCTCGTCTTTCCACCACTGTTGGCCATGGAGACCAATTAATTAATGTCCTCCTTCTGACAGCCATTTCCATTATCATGTCCACCTAAGCATTTTATTTTCAAAACTAAACAAACCCAGTTCCTACAACCATTCCTAATAGGTCATGTTTTCTAACATGCTTCATGTACTCTAGAACAGACTATGACAGAATAAACACATATTTTGAATTACCATATTTATTCAATTCTAAGACAAGTTTTCCTTCCTCATTTAAAACCCCTCATCTTAGAATCGCATATGAGGGTGCTGGGTGGGAGCGGGGCATGCAGTTTCTGTGGCTTGGACTCCACCTCAGGGATGTAGCGGCAGCCACAGCTCCTGCCTGCC